TGATGGTCAGTGCCGCTTAGCCTGTTCGCACTCGATATTTCTCGGCGCCGCTACATTCCTGATCTCCAGAAGGCTCCGCCCTCTCTCGATGGTTCGTGTCCTTTTTTTCGTTGCTTTTTGTTCCTATAAATAGGCTTCTCATTGGTTTTGCGAGCTTCGTTTCTTCATCAATCCAGACTAGACTAGATTACATGGTCCGCTCTTCGTCTCGCGGGTATCGATTTTCTTGAGTTGCGTTCCATATGGCCAGCGGCATGCAGCGTTTCATAGCTAGCGGCACCTGGCATGCCACGAGTCTAACCTGCTAGGTACCCAGGCCAGCCGGGATGTGCGCGCAGGATAGGCCACCGATCGCGTTGTCTGCACAGGGAGTCCGCGGCGGCCCGGATGTGTGCGCAGGCTAGCTAGACCATCAACCGCGTTGTCCGTGCGGGGAGTGCAGCAGGCGAGGTGGGTTTCAACGGTTTTCTGGGGCTCACCAACGAAGCCCTTGGACGGGCGGAAGTCCACGCGAGCTGGATTTCTCCGGTGAGGCCCTCTTCCCTTCTTTCACGTGTGTGCGTCCTCTCCGTCTGGGCGTTGATCTGAGGCAGGAGGCACAGCGGCTGCAGGGCGCAACGGTGGCAGCTGCGGGAGGCTTCCGACAAGTGAGGGAGAAAGCGGTGGTGCCGATTGTCGGCGAGGTTCCAACAGCGCGTGGCTTAGCTCGCACTCCGTGGCCATGGTGACGGGCTGAATGCTACACAGTAAACTCTATTAGAATAGAAGAACTCCACCAAAATGGAAAAGAAACCATCAGGTCATTGTACTAAGAAGAAAGAAGCAACAAGAGACGCTGAATATTCTACCCACGAAATAACAAGGGGAGTTAATTTTGACACATGGTATGAACTTTGGCAAGAGACTCAACTGAGCTGCGTCACCACTGGGCCAGCGTGCAGTCTCGAAAGCTAAACTACTTATTAGAGGAATATAATGACACCTGAACGAATTGAATGACAAATTCAGACAAGTTTTGTATACAAACCAGTGGTTTATGCATGCAAAGGAACATGCAAAATGATTTCTACCAAGCCACAGTCATAACAAACTACATCAGACACTCACATAACATGACAACAAAGAGCAAACATTAGTTTAGTTTTTTACTTCCTCCATCCCATAATATAAGAGCATTTTTTACACTACAATAATGTCAAAAATGTTCTTATATTATGGGACGGAGGGAGTACTTTTTCTAGAACATCGCAAACATGATCAGAAGGTAGATAAATTAAAGTGGTACTAAAATAGATTACTTTGCCACTAAGATCTCTTTGCAGGGAGCCACTGATGATACAACAGTTGACTATATATAATACTAGTAGATACCAGTGATACTGTAAACGGAAGTGCATATAATCTATCTTCTCACTGTATCTAATGCTACAAAAGAAAAACAAATACCTCGTAAATAGATATTCGCTCAGCTCACAAATGTAAGATGTGAGGTGCAGATACAAACGCTCCCCTGGTCGCTCCCGCCCGCCCGGGAGCGAACCCTAGGCGTCGCCAGCAAGCTCCCCTCCGTCCCCACCTTCCCTCGCCGCCGCCGGCGAAAGTCGCCGGGCGAAGCCCGCGCGGCTCGGCGGCGGCGGGGTCCTTTCCCTCCAGCTCGCGGAGGGGCGGCGCGGGCCGTCTGCTTCGGCGGGAACTCGGCGTGGCGCTCGCGCGGGTGCGCGCGCTGGCATGGGCGTCCGCGTTCGGGAAGGCGCGCGGGGTGGCCCGAGTGGGCGGGGCGCGGCTCGGGCGCTCTGGCCTCTGGCGGCGCGGATCTGGCATTGCGGCTCCGGCGGGTGGTGACCTCAAGGCTGCGCCTCCGGCGGGTGGCAGCCGCGGGGGCGTCGTTGGCTGGATCCGGGGTTGCGGCCCGGCGGCTCCTTCCCAGCGAGTGGGGGTGGGGTGGCGCCCCCCTTCCTCCCTTCGGGTCCTTCATCTCCACGCGGGTCGGCTTCCTGCTGGCTCCTGGGGGCTGCTGCGGTGCTGCATCAGGGTGGGCGCGAGTATGGGGAGCTGCGGGGCGAGGTGGGACTGGAGCGGCCGGCGTGCCGGCTCCAGTTTTGGCAGTGGTCGGAGTTTGCCGACGTTCCCGTCCCCGATCTGGCGATCTTGACCTCACTGGGCCGATTCGGGTCCTGTGCGCTTGTGCTCTGGAAGAAATCCCTGCTCACCCATTGTGTGAGCCGACCATGACGGCGCCACACCGGCGTCGAATACCTTCCTAGAGGCGTGGTCTCCGAGCTATGTCGCGTGGATCTGCTTCGGCGTGGTTCAGGCCGTCTTGCTGTAGGGATGTGGGATGTGCTCAAACTCCGGGTGAGAACCTTGCATCGACTTTGTCGATGCCGGCGGCAGCGGCGTCTATGGACGTCGCCTTCCTCGCAGGAGGTGCTGCTGTGGAGCTCCAGCACCTACGGTACTCTGCTTTGTGGTCACCGGGTGAAAACCTAAGATCAGGCTCGCCGGATCGGATGATGGTGTTGCGTCTTCGACAACACTTCCTCCTTGGAGGCGTCATCTTGGGGGCCCAAAGCGACGGTTCCTGATGCGGCGTGTGGTTGAGGGTGGTGCGTTTTGGTGGTGGTGGTGCGGCGAGCTTGGGGCCGACGGTGGTGTGTTTCTTCTTCATGTGTTTCTCTTTGGCTGTCCTTCGCGTGGTCTCCGTCCTGTTGCTATGCATGCTCAAGACCCTCCCATGGTTGCCGTTGTGCTGCGGCGAGCTTTCGGCTCTTGGTGTTGTCTTGGTTCACCTTTGCTCAATGACGACACAATGATGCCTCCCCAACCTGCTAATCGTTCTGACCGCTCGTGGCGGATCTTCCAGTCAAGGTTCGTGTTATGGTTTGGCACTCGTTGATTATGGTTGATCCTCTGTTGTGCCGTGGGGCTCGGTACGCACGCCGGTGCCGTGCGTTAGGTTGTTTGCAGAGTCTTGGTATTGTGATCCCTCGACAGAACCCCACATCTACTTGTGTCTCTCATGGTGTTGGTCTTTCTGCCTGCTAGCTAGGTCATGCCCTCTCCTGGGTGGCACTTTTTCCTCATCTTCTGTAACCTTATTACCTGTATGGTTTTCGGCCCGGTTTCCCTCATAAACGGGGTCAACTTGTTTAGGTTTTTGATCCGGTTTCCCTTATAAACTGGATCAGCCAAAGCTTAAGGGGTGACTCTTGGCTTTGGCAGCTTTTTGAGCAATATATTCAGGTGGGGATCCTCTCCCCCCGTGACCGTTCAAAAAAACAAATGTAAGATGTTCTGACTTTTTTATGCATCGTAAATAGACATGTTTTAGTGTGTTTGTTCAATCATTTCAGTCCATATGTAGTCCATACCGAAATATCCAAAACATCTTGTATTTGTGAACGGATGGAGTACTTTGCTACTGACGTTCTTATGAACCTAATATGCCCGCAAGACCTCTGAAAAAGAAAACTTGTTCACCATCACAGTTCTGCTGAAAGTTAAGTTTCAAAAGCCTCTAGGGAATTGCTGAGGAAGATGTCCAACATCTAGCCAACTATCGATCCAAAAACTAATGTACAGCAGTAAGCTGCAAGATTTGTTTAACCTTAATTAATACTCCCTCCGTCCGGAAATACTTGTCGGCGAAATGGATGTATCTAGATGTATTTTAGTTCTAGATACATCTATTTTTATGCATTTCTGCGACAAGTATTTCCGGACGGAGGGAGTACATAGACAGCAGTACAGCACACTATTCTTGAGATATTTTCTCAACAAACTCAAAATTACAACAACAGCGACAAAGCCTTTAGTCCCAAACTCAACATTAGACCCTCTTTATTTAGTAAATTGCATAACCATTTCCGGAAAGACAAATGTCTCTATGGTCTGCAAACTACTGGCCAACTGATCAAATGATATTTCTAACATTATTATGCTCATACCACAACAACTTAACCCTCAACTCTGAAGTAATCCAGGCCAAAGTGAGGCAGGGGCAGAGAGCTAACCGTCTTGGGCCCCTGGTCTGGAGGGGCTTCATCTTGCATGTTTGCAAAGGTGTGAATGGCTCATATTACTTAAGCGCTGGGATGCATGCATGGCAATGGCATCATTACCTGCCCTAGTAAATAATCTCCAAGCTAAAATCATGAAAGCAATACTGCAGTAGCACTGTCGTCTAGTTTGTGGTGTGTGCCGGCTCTTGAGCCTTTGACCCTGATGGATTTGTGTCGAACCTCGCTTATGTTTTCCCCTTTATTTGTGTTGAACCATTGTTGTAAACGCTAAAAGGGCTTCAGTTCGCTAAAGCCGGCAAGTGCCTCTTTTCTAAAAAAAATGTTACATAGTCACTGTATTCTATTTAATACTTGGTGGTACTAATTTACCATGTTTTGGTTGTTTACTCCATAACATGTTATTTCTACTAGCTCGTTATTAGTGTAGTATATATTTTTTAAGTAGTTATTAGTGGCGTAGATGAATAGTTTTGTTGGACAATGCTCTTGCATGTGTGCATACTTGTGTAAACCAAGCCCGGTTATCTTTTAGTTAGTGTTGTGTCGACTAGTTTGTTGTATTAACTTTTTCAAAAAAAGCTTATTTTGTCGCCTTTGATTTGCAATGTTAAAGAAATTTTCTCTGTTGCCACATCCTTGGGTCGCCATGCCATCAGTTTCACTTCAGACCGCCCCTGTTGTAGCATGATGTGTTACACCAGCAATGATAACATTGACCGTGGCGCCTTTATTTAAATGGCAACAATGGGCAGAGTTTGTTAAGTCATGGCTGCAAGAATAGCTGATCATGTAATATTGCTTTGCTTTGCTTGTTTGGATTACATATAGATATGCAGTTTTCCTATTTTGTGGCTTATCTCAAGCCTTTTGTTCATAACATTTTTTTTTTTGAGATATAAAAATTGCAGTGCCATCAAAAAGAAAATAAGGAGACAGAGCAATAGAGCACATCAACACAATATATGTATCGACGATTGCCTAGGTAAATCTTACAAATTGCAAACTCAGTTCTATATATATTCCATTATGACTGAATGTCCACAAACTTTTTTTATTTTTATTTGCGGGGGAATGTCCACAAAGTTCAATCGTATAGAACTTGGTAAGGTTGAGGATAGTACCTGGAGTACAGAAGCTCATGTAAGGAAAGACATTGAACAATCCCTTCTCGCACACCTTGGTCACTTGCTCCGACTTGAGCTCGATCATGAAGACACCAGCATGCGTGCTGACGAAAATGACATCGGAAGCGCGGCCCTTGGCAAAGGCGGACAGCAGACACAGTGAGTGCCTTGGGTCGCCAATGGAGAGCATATCGAGCTTGATGACCCCACTTTTTTTCCACCGCGCGGCTCTGCCAGGACCCGTCTTCAGCACCCACAGGTAGAGGGTGAACATGTTAAGGACAGCGAGCCCAAGTCCACCATTTTCCACTGGCATGATGACAACGCCACCCCCATCCTGGTTATCCCCGCCCTCGTAAACGTCCATGGCATCGATCACTGATAGGCCCCGATCGCCGCCCAAGTTGTAGCGCAGGATCAGGCTGCCGGTCCCACAGGTGAAGTAGAGAGCGTCTCCCACCATGACGGGGGGCATCGAGTCGACATAGGAATCGAGCTCATAACCGAACTCAACATAGGACGGCGAGCTCCACACACCGGTCTCTGAAGAGTAGAGGCAGGCGCGCGCGCCGTCGTCGTCGGCGTCCGTGCCGACGAAGGCCACCAGGAAAGGACCCCCATGGCAGTCAAGGTGGTCGCAGCCGGGCGTGGCGCAGAACACCCCCGCGTTGTAGCAACTCCCCCGGATGGCGGGGTGGCGCACGCGCTGCTTCTCGTTGGTCATGGGGTCCCAGAGGGTAAAGGAATCCGGGAAGCTGCGGTCGCTCAGGAGGACGCGGCCATGGCGGCAATCGAAGGCGAAGCTTTTGCCGGAGTCGGGAGGGCGGAATGCCGTAGTGGGGACGAAGCGGGCTAGGCCGGACAGGTTACGAAAGAATCCCAGCACGGGAAGTGCTTGATGGAATTCGCGGTAGCGGCGGCGGAAGGCGCGGCCGGAGAGGAGGTTGCCCCAGAGCTTGCAGACGAGGGAGGCGCGGAAGAGATACTCCGGCTCGTCAGGCGGCAGTCGGAGGAGGATCTCGACGATGAGGTCATCGGGCAGCGCCGGCAGCGAGTCATGGCTCGGCTGCGGCTGCGGCTGCGGCGGCGGAGTCATGGTGCGGTGCGGTGCGGGCTTGGGGCTTTGGTTGGGGATTGGGATTGGTATAAATGATGTACACCGGCCCACCGAACGGCCTAATCTCGCGCGGTGACACGCGTGCGTGACACGCGCCGCAGCCCCACGCACCGCTTTTGGCTGGGGTCAAACCTTGTCTTTCCACCGCGATTTCTCCACCACTCGTTCCTTCTCTTCTCCTCTAGACCCCAGCCGGTGCTCTCCTTTCTCTTTTTTTTTTCAGATCTTTCTTCACGTACCCACCACCGCCTGCCGACGCTACTTTGAGTATTTTTATCTAAAATAATACAAGCATCAGGATTTGAACCTCGTGAACTGAGGATACTCATTCAATTACAAATTGGTTCGCGCTATTTGAAGAAATTGGTAGATTAAGTTGCCTATAAATTAATCACGAGAAAACAAATACAAAGGTTCTTACAAAGAAAATGAGAATAATTAAGCAGGCTTAGTTTTGGAGAATTCTGAGTGTCACTAAGGGCATCTTCAAGCCGGATCCGTAAACCGCTTGTACCCGTCCGGACCGCGGAAGTCATCTAAATCGGGTCTGCATCGGTCCGCGGGGCGGTCCAGACGTGTTTTCTCCCGTAAATTGGAGACAAGGTGGGGGAACTTTACACGAGTCCGGACAGCAGACATGTAGGACTCTGACACCCCCGGCCCACCCAATCCCCCTTCCCGATCCTATTGTCTTCCACTCCGCTCCTTCTCCCCCTTGCTTTGCATCCACACCCTCCACCTCTGCCGCCGTTGTTGTACGTCACCAGCCGCCACAGAGGCATTGTTGGACGTCCACAAGTCGCACCGACGGGCCTTCTCGCCTTTACAACAGAGTTGTCCACCCTGTAACCTTTTGTACCTAGGTACACTCCGCCCCCTGTTGACGACCTCCATGGCGGACACCATGCCCGGCAAGTCTTCGGTCAAATGTCATTGACCTTATTTTCAAATGTTATGTCGTTTTTTAGAGTATGAAGGATGGTGAGCTACTCGACCATGGAGGACGAGTTGTTGTGAGATGCGTGATTGGACGTATCCGCGAATTTCGTAGGCATGAGCAAAGGAGAGGCCTTCTGGTAGCAAGTGCATGAAATGTTTCACGCACGAAAGCACGTTGCGCCCTACGACATGTAGATCATTCAACATCGCAACGTGAGGTCGTTGTCGTACTACTGACACACTATCCAGACTAGCGTCACCAAGTTTTGCGACGTGGTTTGTCAACAAAGAGTGGAGCCTGAGGTTTTCCAGGATCTTGAGAAGCCTTTTACACAGGAGGAAATTGATGATGTGGTAAAAAAACCTTCCTATAGACAAATCTCCAGGTATTGATGGATTTAATAATGAGTTCATTAAAGCTTGTTGGGACATCATTAAAATGGATATCACTGAGCTTATCATGGCTTTTCATGCTGGTAATGTAAATCTTGAAAGCATCAACACATCCTTCATTACCCTGATCCCAAAAAAGGAAGTGCCAGTTTCCCCTAATGACTTCAGACCGATTTCTTTGCTAAATGGAGTTCTTAAGATAATTACCAAGTTGTTGGCCAATAGATTGCAAAGAGTTATTCTTCAAATGGTACACATTAACCAATATGGATTCCTCAAGAACAGAGTGATCCAGGACTGTCTTGGTTGGGCATATGAATATATCCATCGATGTCACAAATCAAAAGAACAGATGCTAGTAATTAAACTGGATTTTGAGAAAGCTTTTGACACTATTGAGCATCAAGCTATTATTGATATACTCATAGCAAAGGGATTTGGAGAAAAGTAGACTTCCTGGATGCAATTACTTTTCACATTAGCCTCATCAGCTGTGATGTTGAATGGAGTTCCTCGCAGAAAAATTCTATTGTAGAAGAAGAGTTAGACAGGGTGATCCACTGTCTTCATTAATTTTTGTATTGGTTGCTGATCTGCTACAATCAATACTTAATAAGGCCATGAGACTGGGTCTTATTACTTCACCACTTCAAGTCAACTCTTTTCTAGATTTTCCAGTAGTGTAGTATGCAGATGATACCCTTGTTCTCATGCAAGCAAACGCAAGATAGCTGATATACCTCAAAGCTCTATTAAACACATTTGCCTAGCAAACTGGTGTCATTGCTCTAGCTAAGGAACCAAGGTTTCACAAGAGGACCAGCCACATAAAGCGACGCTTCAACTCCATCCATGATGCAGTCAAAGAGGAGGACATAAACATTTGCAAAGTACATACGGATCTGAATGTTGCAGATCCGTTAACTAAACCTCTTCCACAGAAAAAACATGACCACCACCAGAACTCTATGTGTGTTAGGTTCATTACCATCTAATACTAGATTGTTGACTAGTGCAAGTGGGAGACTGTTGGAAAGATGCCCTAGAGGCAATAATAAAGTGATTATTTTTTTACTATAAACAGTAGGATAAAACCCTACTACAACTTTTATTAATTAATAAATAGAGAACAAAAAACCTGTTTGATAGGCTTGAGGTAAGCCCAAAAACAAAATACAAAAGAAGAAGGAAAGAAAATAAAAAAAAAGAAAAAAAGAAAGAAAACTTCAAAAGCTAAGAAAAAACTAACAAGCAAAAAGAACTAATAAAGCTATAAACAAAATCTATACTACTACTAAAGAAGCAATTACAACAATGCCTCCAACCAAGCAGAGAACTGAAAGACATGTTTTCTCTTCATCCTGTATTTTAGCAGCTTGAGCTCCTCCTCAAAAATGAATTTCCAGCCCTGAAATGAGGGAGTTATATTCTCAAATATCTTATTATTCGTGGATATCCAAATAGTCCATGGCCCTAGAATGATAATCTCCATAAAAAAGGGGTAATTGAGCTTGTCTTTTAGGTCTTGATATGCTTCTAACACTGACAAATTATGTGTTCTTATTGGACAGATGAAATCCCATCACTGAATGGCAGGGCATCCCCAAAAGAGATGTTGTAGTGTTTCTTCCTGCTGACAATCCCTCACTGCATAGTTGTATGCTTCAAGTTCAAAGCTTTTTCTTCTTAACATGTTCCTTGTGTTAACTCTATCATGTAACAACATCCAAAAGAACACTTTGTGTTTGGGCTGACAGGAGCTCTTCCAGATCAAGTTGAAGTGTGGTGGTGTTTGTTTGTGTCCAATCAGTACATTGTAGGCTTTAATGGAAGGTAGAATTCATTTCCCCATATATAGTTCCATGTGTCCATCAAGTCCAAGTAATCAGATTGTCTTAATGTAATGCATATATTTTCCATTTCCAAGAATTCCTCATATGCTTGTGTTGTCAGTGGTAGATAGAAGAGGTCTTGAAGATATTCAGTGTTGATTACTTGATGGACATTTAAGTGTGGATTTCTAACAAAGGTATGAAGGTGATGGAACTTGTGTTTAAGGACAAATTGGTGCCACATGTCATCCCAGAACAAGGCACTTTTACCATCCCCCACATCATCTGGCTATGGCTTTGAAATGATCTACGAGTGCTAAGTTTGATCTCCACCAGAAAGAGCCCACCTTATGATCTCCTGGAAGTTTCCCATTACTATAATATGTCTCCCAAATTAGGTTATCCCATGGTATGCCATGCCTATTGAAGAACTTATGAAGGTTTTTCATGAGCAAAGTATTGTTTTATGTGTAGATATCAATGACTCCCAAACCTCCTTGACTTTTGGGCCTGCAAACTGTGTGCCAAGCCACTAGTGCTAGTCCGTGGTATTCCAGGCATTCTCCAGAGACAATGCCTCAAATACTTAATGATCTGCTTCTCGATGGTGATAGGTATGTCCAAACAACACATGAAGAAAATTGATAATGATGCAAGCACTGATTTGACTAGTAGCAATCTACCTACCTGAGTCATAAAGGTAGAGATACCAGATAATCTCTTAGCAATTCTGTTGACTAGAGGCAAACATTGTTCTACAGCTGGTTTATAAATTCCCAGAGGAAGGCCCAAGTAAGTAAAAGGAAATTGTCCTCTGGCACATTGCAGCGTGTTAGTGAAAATGCTTACTCTGTCTTTTGCAATGTTTATGAGTACCATGATTGATTTCCCATAATTGACTTTTAGTCCAGTGGTTGAGGCAAATGTGTTTAATAGATCTTTGAGGTATATCAGCTATCTTGCATTTGCTTGCATGAGAATCAGGGTATCATCTGCATACTACACTACTGGAAAATCTAGAAAAGAGTTGACTTGAAGTGGTGAAGTAATAAGACCCAGTCTCATGGCCTTATTAAGTATTGATTGTAGCAGATCTGCAGCCAATACAAAAATTAATGGAGATAATGGATCACCCTGTCTAACTCCTCTTCTACAGTAGAATTTTTTGCCAGGAACTCCATTCAACATCACAGCTGATGAGGCCGATGTGAAAAGTAATTGCATCTAGGAAATCCACTTTTCTCCAAATCCCTTTGCTTTGAGTATATCAATAATAGCTTGATGCTCAATAGTGTCAAAAGCTTTCTCAAAATCCAGTTTAATACTAACATCTCTTCTTTTGATTTGTGACATTGATGGATATATTCATACGCCCGGCCAAGACAATCCTGGATCACTCTGTTCTTGAGGATTCCATATTGGTTAATGTGTACCATTTGAAGAATAACTCTTTGCAATCTATTGGCCAACAACTTGGTAATTATCTTAAGAACTCCATTTAGCAAAGAAATTAGTCTGAAGTCATTAGGGGAAACTAGCACTTCCTTTTTTGGGATCAGGGTAATGAAGGATGTGTTGATGCTTTCAAGATTTACATTACGGGCATGAAAAGCCATGATAAGCTCAGTGATATCCATTTTAATGATGTCCCAATAGGCTTTAATGAACTCATTGTTAAACCCATCAGTACCTGGAGATTTGTCTGTAGGAAGTTTTTTTACCAGATCATCAATTTCCTCCTGTGTAAAAGGCTTCTCAAGATCCTGGAAAACCTCAGGCTCCACTCTTTGTTCATATAGGTCATTCAAATCAAAG